AACTCACACTGGGCATGTGTGTGTGTGTGTGTGGCCAAGATCCCGAGAGGAGAATGGAGGAGAAGGGATTGTGGCATGGCCCTCCCCACCTCTCACTTTCTGTCTCTCTGTCTCTCTCTGTCTCTCTGGCGAGCGCACACTCCCTATAGCAAAAACCTCTCCAAAAAAAAAAAAAACATAGTGAGGATGATAACAATAATGAGGCCAGCAGATGACATAATGGTTATGTCACTGGACTTACACAGTCACCCAGGATTCGAGTCCCGGATCTGGCGGCCTAAACTCACACTGGGTTCATGTGCTCGAGTGCCCAAAATCCCAAGAGGAAAATGGAGAAGAGACTGTGGCATGGCCATCCCCCTGGGGTGTGATTTCTCACTTTCTGTCTCTCTGGTGAGTGCATGCACCCTATGGCAAAAATCTTTCCAAAAAAAATAAATAAATAAAGAGAGAGAGAGAGAGATACACATGCCATAGACTGGGGCCATTGCCAAGTAGATTTGTGTTCTTTCTGGGTTCCCTTTAATCCTGTTGTACAGCCTTTGTTTATCTAAAATATGTACCTTAGACCTCCTTTGAGGTGTTAATTTTTTTTTAGCGTGTGTTTCTCATTCTTGCTTCTTGTGGGTCTCATGCTGCAGGGAGTTCTTCTGCGTAGTACAGATGGTCTTATGTCCCTCCTTAAAGGTTCTTTGGGCTCCAGGCTAGTTCCCTGATGGATATCTGCCTAACCAAGTTTATCATCCCTAACAACTCCTAAGAGTCCCTGTAGGAGAAGAGCCATCTCTGCCCTGGGACTTTGCACTCCTGCCCCCTCCTCCACTGTTCATGTGATTAACTGCCTCTCATTGCTCTTTAACCAAACATCTCCTCTGAAAGGTCTTCCTTTGGGACCAGCCAGGAGGGGTGGTGGTGAAGGTGGCTGCATCCCGTATGGCTGATTGCGCAGTTTGGGTCCTGGATTCTGTGGCTTGGGAAACACACCGGGCATAAGTGTGCACATGCACCAAAAATCCCACGAGGAGAATGGAGAAGGGACTGCAGCACGGTCAACGCTCCTGGAGTGTGCTTTCTCACTTTCTCTCTCTCTCCCCTTCTCCAGCTCTCTCCTGGCTGGCACATGTGCCCTACAGCAAACGAAAAAAGAAAATAAAGGTCTTCCCTGACTCCCCAACTCAAACTAGATTTTCCTGCTTTTCTCTCTTATAACACTTTGGACCTTCCTAAATAATGTTGCAGGATGGCTTTGGTGATGACTAGGTTCTTAGTTTTTCTATCAAAGAATTGAATAAAACAGGACAACAGTAAAAGGAAGAGCTAATTTATCAAGTGAAAGCAAAAGTACGCACCTGGGAGGTAGGAGCAGGCCTGAGAGGACAGAAAGAGTGGCTCAAAGGCTCCGAAAGGGCCATTCTGCGAGGTTTGTCATTTTTTTTCTCAAAGAAAGACTTTTGCTTTGGGGTACATGCACTCTCCAGAGAGATAGAGACAGAAAGCAAGAAGTCACCCCCTAGGAGGAATGACCATGCCCCAATTCATTCTCCATTCAGGATTTTGGGTACACACACTCCCGATGTGAGTTTTAAGCCACTTGGTCTGGGACTCCAACTGCGGTTGATTACATGGGAGTCCAGCAATGTAACCATTACACCATCTGTTGGTCTCGGTTCATAATTTTTTAATCTAAGTCATGTTGGTTGATCATTGCCTGGGCCTACTGATTTTTTCTCATCTCATTGACTCTATCAAATGTAACTGGGCTAGGGGTCAGCAGGAGGCATGGTAGTTAAAGTGTTGGACTCTACATAGTGGATTGCAGTTCTAGTTCCAGGCCTGGCAGCTTGTTTTCTCACTTTTCCTCTCTCTCTCTCTCTTTCTCTCTGGTGAACAAACGTACCCTATAGCAAAAATTTAAAAAAATAATAAATAAACTAAACTAAACAAATCTTTAACATAAGGCAACCGGGCCCGTTGATTTATCTCATTGGGTCTATCAAATGTGGTGGCCTACTGATTGATCTGATTGGCTATCTCAAATGTGGCTTAAGCAGCTCGACTTTCTCTACTGCAAGTCTCCTGCCTACGTTACCCTGCGCTAGAACTTTCTGCCCTGATCAGTTTTTCCATCTAGCCACATAGGCAGAAGCTCTAGTCCCCTTAACCTACTACTTCCGTTTGCTAGCTGTCTCCTGTCTCATTTATGTTATCATAACTGGTAAAACAAATATATTCTATTTATTTGTGTGATTATTTATTTACTGTATTTAGGTCTTAGGTTCATAACTTCCAGAGAGCAGACCCAAGGGCTGTCTTGACATTTGCTGTCCCCTACAGCTCACTTAGAACAGCGTTAGGCACATAACAGGGGCTCAGTAATTATTTGTTGGATTAAATGCATGAGTATTGCCGACAGAAATAACCAAGTCTACACAAATAATAATTGATACAGTTTAAGCACAAAATTGAGTGATTGGCCAGAGAGACACTCAACGTGCTTAGATACAGTGGTTCTTTTTATTCAGTTCTGAGAGTGGGAAGTGTAAATTCATAAATTAGCAAAAAGAGTCTTCACACTGGCCTGGCCTCAAAAGGCCGGACATCTAGAAGCAGAGGATTGTAGGTTATAGATGCATTTAGAAATTCTTAGGTTATGGGGTCAGCAGATGGCATAATGGTTATGTTACTGGACTCCCACGTAGTAGACCACAGTTCAAGTCCTGGATCCAGCAATTTAAAATTCACGCCAGGCGCTTGTGTGTGCATGCCCAAAATCCAAAGAGGAGAATGGAGAAGAAGGGATTATAGCAAGGCCATCCCCCCAGGGGGTGATTTCTTGCTGTCTGTCTCTGTCTTCCCAGTGTATAACAAAAATATCTCTAAAAGAATTAGAAATTTAAAGGTTAGCAACTAGATTTTTATTTTATTTATTTATTTATTTTTTGAGAGGTTTTTGCTAGAGGGCACGTGCGCTCACCAGACAGACAGAGACAGACAGAGAGACAGAAAGCGAGAAATCACCCCCCAGGGGGGATGGCCACGCCGCAATCCCTTCTCCTCCATTCTCCTTTCAGGATCTTGGGCAAACTTGCACATGTGGCTGGTGTGAGTTTAAGCCACCAGGTCTGAGACTCAAACCACGGTTGACTACATGGGAGTCCAGCGACAGCCATTACGCTAACTGCTGGTCCCAGCAACTAGATTTTTAAAAGTTTTTGTTTGCAAAAGAAATCAGCAAAAGAATGTCTATGTTCACTCTTGACAGAGATAAGAAAGCTTTACTACACATCCTAAAAATACTAAGCCAAGGAAGCAGTAAGTCAAGGACAGGATGTAGGGAGTATCCCACAGCCATCACTGACCAAAGTGGTTTGTTAATGTTTATAGGAATGACTTTCCCAAGCCTTTGGAAAGGATTTTGGAATAGGAAAAAGTGGTCAGAATTCTGTCCTGGGTGTGCTAGGAATTGAGACCTCTTGCTGTATTGATAGACGTAACTGAACCTCTACTTAAAATCACCCAAAGAGGGCCAGCAGTGGTGGTTAAAGGCGCTGGATTCCCACATGGCCAACCACGGTTCAAGTCTTGGACCTGTGAATTGTTATCTCACTTTCCCTCTTTCTCTCTCTGTCTCTCTGTTGAGTGCATGTGTCTATGCAAACTGAATAATAGGGACCGCAGATAGCATAGTTATATTGCTGGACTCCCACATGGCTGTTGGTGGTTTGAGTCCCAGACTCAGAGGTTTGAAAGTCACCCTAGGCACGTGTGCATGCATGTTCCAAATTCCAAGAAGAATGGAGGAGAAGGGATTGCAGCATTGCCATTCCCCCTGGGGGGTGATTTCTTGCTTTCTGTCTCTCTGTCAAGCACATGGGTCCTATAGGAAAAATCTCTCTTAAAAAATAAATTAATTGTTGGTACCAGCAGTTAGCGTAATGGCTATGTCGCTGGACTCCCACATAGTTGACCGCAGTTCGCATCCCAGACCCGGTGGCTTAAAACTCATGCTGGGTGCATGTGCATGCGTGCCCAAGATCCCGAGAGGAGAATGGAGAAGGGATTGCGGTGTGGCCATTCCCCCTGGGGGGTGATTTCTCTCTTTCTTTCTCCCTGTCTCTCTGTCTGGCGAGCGCACGCGCCCTGTAGCAAAAACCTTTTAAAAAAAAAAGACACACACACACAAAAGTTAATTGCGACTGGTAGATGGCGTAGTGGCTATGTCGCTGGATTCCCATGTAGTCGACTGAGGTTCGAGTCCCAGACCCGATGGCTTAATCTCATGCCAGGCGTGTGTGTGTGCATGCCCAAGATCCCAAGAGGAAAATGGAGAAGGGATTGAGGGATAACCATCTCACCAGGGGGTGATTTCTCGCTTTTTGTCTTTCTGGCGAGTGCATGCAGCCTATAGCAAAAACCTCTCCCCTCAAAAAAATTAATTAATAATTAATTAAATTAAATAAATATTTGTTTTAACTTTCTGCCCAAGAACCATTTAATATTTCAGCCCGCAGGCCCTCTCCTTCAAGCCTCATCAGTCACTCTCCACCAGGTAACGTGTAGTTTTCACCCAAATAACCTATGCTCCTGACCATATTTCTAACACAGACCAGATAAAGGAGATTGTGACACGCACGCCACGTTTGCCTCCCTAGCCCTGAAAGTGACGCTGGTGGTTCATTAGCTGCATTCAGACCTGTGAAGTGAGCCACACCCTCCGCCCAGGTCCGGAGGCTCGTACACTTAAGCTAAGCTCCTCAGGCTCCCCCTCCTCCCGCACATTCCGTACGCCATGGCGGCTCCCGAAGGCGTGGGCCAGGACGCAATCTTCCGTACAATATGGCTGCCCACGG